CTTGAATCAATTGAGAACTGTTTCCTGTGATCAAAAGTTCATCTACATAGACCAAAATTACCACTATATCACTTTCAACTTTTCTTATGAACAAAGAATTATCATGATCACTCTGAATGTACCCTGCTGCCAACAGAGCTTCAGTAAACTTGATATTCCATTGTCTAGAGGCTTGTTTTAAACCATACAATGATTTTCTCAACTTGCACACCTTATTCTCCCCCTGTTTTTGCAAGCCAAGAGGAAGATTCATGTAAATATCTTCATTGAGATCACCTTGTAAAAAAGCATTATTAACATCCATTTGAGACAAATCCCAGCCATATGAAGCTGCCAGTGTAAGAACTGTCCTGATTGTAACTATCTTTGCAACTGGAGAAAAAGTCTCATGGTAATCAAGACCTTCCCTTTGTGTGTACCCTTTAGCAACTAAATGAGCTTTGTATCTGTCTACCTCACCATTTGCTTTATATTTGATTTTATACACCCACTTTGATCCAATGGCCTTTTCACCAGGAGGTAAGGCTGCAATAGTCCAGGTACCATTATCTTTCAATGCCTGAACTTCTTGATGAATGGCTTCAACCCATAGTTTGTCTTGAGAGGCCTCATGGTATGACTGAGGCTCTACTATTGCAGAAAATGCATGTAAATAATTTTGATAATCAGTAGAGATGTTGTCATAGTAAACATGATTTGTTATAGTATGAGGGTGAGACTTTTGGGGCACAATGTAGTCTTTAATCCATACTGGTGGTTTGATAGCTCTTCTAGTCTTTCTAGGACCAATATTATCTTGTTGAATGTCATCTGGATGCACAGGATCATCAACAGGCATAAGGTCAGCTTCTGTAGGCTCCACCATCATCTCAACTTCTGCAGGTTCCACCATCATCTCAGCTTCTGCAGGTTCCACCACAGTCTCATTTAATGCATCAGTAGGAGTAAGAATACGTGATGTTGGCTGCATAATGGGCTAATTATAGTCATGTGTACCTGCATCATCTATAAATGGTGATAATAAAGGATAAGGTCCCTCATCTGACTGCAGAAGCTTGAAAGGAAACACCTCTTCTCTGAAGACCACATCCCTGCTAATAAACATAGTTCTTGTATCCAAATAATACAGTCTATACCCCTTTTGTATGGAAGAAAAACCCAACAAGACTGATCTCTTTGCTCTAGCCTCAAATTTGTCTCCTCTGGGCAGTGTACTCGCAAAACACAAACATCCAAAAACTTTAATGTGTTCTATACTAGGAGGTTTCCCAAATAACACCTCATAAGGAGATTGTCCATCCAAAAACACCAGTAGGTAATCTGTTAAGAAGATAGACTGTTGTTTGTATACAATCACCCCAGAATCTACTAGGCACATGAGATTGCAACTTCAATGCTCTTCCTACCTCCAAAATGTGTCTATGTTTCCATTCAACCCACACCATTTTGTTGTGGGGTATAAGGACAACTACTTTGATACACAATGTCTAATGAAGAAAATAAAGTATTAACTTGACTATTGAAGAACTCAGTAATATTGTCTGATCTCACAGTCTTTATTGAACAACCAAATTGATTACAGATCATAGAAAAGAAACTTTTTAATACAGCTCCTACTTCTTTCTTGGACTGTAACAAAGAGACCCATGTAAATCTACTGTAATCATCAACTATAGTCAAGAAGTAATGCTTTCTATCATAGGTGGGATGCTGGTGAGGACCCCAGACATCCATGTGCATAAGCTGAAACAAACTACTGGACTTAGTTATACTAGAAGGAAACTTCAGTCTACATTGCTTGGCCAAAGGACAAATCATGCATTCTTCTTGTATACTAACATCTACTTTATTCTTCAAAATGGAAATGTGCTTCATTACTTTCACAGAGGGATGCCCCAATTTGAGATGCCACAACTTCAAATCTGTCATTCTATTATTTGCAACTACTGCTCCTGCTACTGAGAGTGCTTCATGCTTGAGAATGTAAAGACCTTCTTCTTCCTTACCAATCCCAATCACCTACCCAGTATTGAGAGCCTGCATTGTACATAGGTTAGGATAAAAAGACACCACACAATTCAGGTCCTTAGTCAGCTTAGAAACTGACAGCAGATTGAATCTAAATTCTGGTACATGTAGCACATTTTCCAGCTTGTATTTTTCCAAAATCACTGCATTTCCAATGTGATCTATTTGGATTTTATTCCCTGTAGGTACTTGCACTTTATTAGGATTTGACTCTGTTAAGTGTTTGCAATCATGAAGGATCTTATCACAATAAGTGATGTGTAGCCCAGAATCAATGATCCACTTCAAATTTGCTACATTCACATTATTATGTTTAGCATTCATACCTGCAACTGCATTTTCTTTACAACTTCATGTGGGCTGAGAAACCATCATCTTCAGCACTTGATCATAGTGTTCCTTTGTGAAATAACCACCTGGAAAATGGAATTGAGAAGAATTTCCTCCTCCTGAAGTAGATGAGCCAGCTTCAGCTGTTGATACATGAGCATGAGGCATGATATCCTCATCATTAGACACTCCCCTTTTGCTTTTGAAATCAGAAGGAAAACCTACAATCCTGTAGCAAGTCTCTTTTGTATGGCTTTTGTATCCATAGTGTTCACAGATCACACCGGATTTCCTTCCATGTAAGACATGACCTTGATTCTTCTTGGTCTGAGAAGTATTAGGTGGATACTGAGAATTTTGTGGCTGATTATTGAATCTCGAACCTCTTCCTGCTAGCATAGTCATTGGATCATTTCCTCCTTCCATCAAACCTAGCTTCCTTTGGCTTTCCTCTTGAATAGCCATTGCATAGGCTTGATTCACACTTGGGACTGGTGAACCAAGCAGAATTGAACTCCTGACTTAAGCATAGCTCTTATTCAATCCTACTAAAAATTGCAATAACCTCTGTTGTCTAATGTGCTCAACATGAGAATTCGACTCCTGACAGTCACATGATGGAGATGGCACCATAACATCTATTTCATCCCATAGATCTCTCATTCTAGAGTAGTATGTAGTCACATAATTTGTTCCTTGACTCATCATACTGATCTCCTTCCACAAATGAAAAATTCTAGTCAAGTTAGATTTATCAAACCTCTCCTTGAAGTCGCTCCAGATCTTCCTCGCACTCGATGCATACACAATGCTGGTTAACTGCTCTGGTGCTACTGTTGCACTGATCCACGTTAACACAACTGCATCATAATTTCCCATCTGATTGCCAAATCTCTTTTGTACGTGCTCTTAACACAGGTGTCATCAACAAATCCAAGTTTGTTTTTGACTAGTAGTGCAAGGCGCATTGATCTACTCCACAATCCATAATTCTCTAGACCTGTAAGCTTCATTGGAATTAAGGCAACACCAGGGGTATCAGATGACTGTAGATGCAAAGGATGATTGTGATCGATTTGTGGATCAATTTCTGATGCATCTGAGTTATTCACCATTGTTGCAGTGTTATTCACCATTGCTGAATCTTCAAGCAACTAACAGTGAAGTCTATTACTTCTCTACAGACTTTCGATCGCCTGCTCTGATACCATGAAAACTTTTGTAATCTAACTACTCGAACTGAATTGACAGCTTTCTAGAACAAATTCACATTGTTACCAATGGCAAGTTTTCATTTCAATCAACTGATCTTTTACAGAATAGAACTGAACCTATATAAAGGAATTTCTCATCAATTATTCTATATCTAAACTCACAACGTGAATCACATGCCTTTAACAGAATGAATAACAGAAAGTTAATAACCTAATAACAGAAAGTTAACAACCTAACAACTTGACTTAACTGCCTAGCAACTTGATAGTTCTATATCTCAATAACTAATCACCAAGCAAAAGTGAAACACAGTTATCAACTTACAACCATGAGATTAACCTCCTAATCTCAACCTAAGTAATATCACTATTACTTAAATGAGCCAAAGCAATGCTTTCATTGCCCACTATATTAACTATTGATAATCAATATAGACTTTTAACCATAAGACACAAAGTCACTCCTAACTATGCTCTTACACGATTCACACAAAGTTTTGAAACGTTTCTTTCAAGATTAAAACGAATCCTACAAGATAAGTACAAATACAAACACATAAAAGCAACAACAGGTTTAGAAAGCAATTATTCGATCAGGTCCTTTGTTGTTTTGTTTGAAGCTTGATTTTCTCTCTTTGAATGAATTATCCTTTTTGTTGTTTGTCATTTTGATTATATCAACCAAAAAAACTATTGACCATTGGACAAACAACCTCGTATGTTCCTATTGGTTAAGTACATTGACGACTTCACCAACCACACTTGGGATATGGTTAAATTGCCCCCCGAAAAGAAGGCACTGCCTTGTAAATGGGTTTACAAAGTAAAGCATAACTCAGATGGATCAATAGAGAGACTAAAGGCGAGGTTGGTCATTCGTGGAGATACTCAACGAGAAGGTATTGATTTCTTTGAGACATTTTCACCTGTAGTCAAAATGACTACAATCCGATGTATTCTCAGTGTGGCAGCTAAAAAGGGTTGGCCTATCTCTCAACTAGATGTAAATAATGCCTTCTTACATGGAGATTTTGCAATATGAGGTGTATATGAAATTTCCTACGGGTATGACTCCACCTAGTCCAGATCATGTTTGTCATCTTAGAAAATCATTATATGGATTGCGACAAGCATCACGACAGTGGTATTCTCGCCTTGCAGCGGCTTTGAATTTTAAGGGATATTCATCCTCTCTAAATGATTATTCCCTTTTCTTCAAAAAAAAAACAGGGGATTCTGTTTGTTTAGTAGCAGTTTATGTTGACGATATTGTTCTCACTAGTAATGATCCCATTGAATTGTCTATTCCAAAAGAGTTTCTTCATGCTGAATTCAAAGTAAAAGACTTGGGACACTTACATTATTTTCTGGGATTGGAGATACTACGAGAGTCCCATGGTATCATTGTGAACCAAAGAAAGTTTGCCCTCGACCTGATTTCAGAATTTGATTGTGTCCATTTGCCTTCTGTTTCCTCTCCTCTTGATCCTTCAATCAAGCTTTCATCCACTTCTGGAGAGCCTCTTGCGGAACCAACAATTTATCGCAGACTCATAGGAAAGTTAAACTATCTAACACACACAAGACCCGATCTTTCTTTTGCAGTTCAACACCTCAGCCAATACATGAATGAACCCAGACTTCCCCACTTTCATGCTGCACTTCGTGTGGTAAGATACCTTCGAACAGACCCTGGCCAAGGTCTCTATCTCTCAGCCACTCCTTCACTGGATTTAAAGGCTTTTTGCGATTCGGATTGGGCATCTTGTCTTGATTCACGAAGGTCTGCACTACAAGAAAAATCTTCATTTAAGACCAACATTTAGGGACGAGTCAATAATCCTGTCTCTAAAAGTATATGTATTGGGACGAGATTTTTTTTCGGTCCTTAATTATGTATCTTTTAGTGAAGGTACTAAATCTAGTCTCCAAAGAAATTAATAACTAGTCCCAAATAATAATTTAGGGGTCTCCTGGAGAGAAAGTGCGGCTACAAATTGAATATTAAAGAAAAGTCTTATTTTCACCAAAACCTAGAGACAAAACATAAGTGTAATTAAAATTCTAAAAACACAAAGACAAAAAATGCTTTGTTTCTCAAAACATTGGCGCGAGTAAGAAAACCCTAGCAGCATCTGCCTAGCAGCGATCTCAGCATAGCTTGTAGCTCTTAGCATTTCATCTGCGTTTTCTCAAAACAGAGGAAGCACAGGTCGGCCTAGCAGCGATCTCAACTCAATCTTTAGTTTCTATCTTACTCGAATCTCAGGTATGCCCACCTTCGTGAGTTGATTTGTAACTCCTCTTGTTTGATTTACTCTTTTACATTTGGATTAGCTGGTCGTTTTTTTAAAGTATATTAAAGTTTGTGCTGTGATAAGATCCAAAATATGAAAGGCATCAATCCTAAGGGAATAGAGTGTTCCTAACAGTTCTTGAACAGTAGAAATCGCAGCTAAATGAACTAAAATAGTGTTTGAGAGACGATATAGAGAGTTGTATTAAACTTGAGAAATCCATTATGAATTACAAGTGAAGTATTGTTTCGATTTTTAGACTGACAGTGAAAGAAAATAGTTGCAGTTGTTCAACAGATCCATGTGCGTAGTCACGTGCCACTAGTTCCTAACAGATTTCTATCTAACTAAAATAATTAGGAATTGCAATTGCACTATTATAAAGTTATCTAATATAAATGGATCATATCATAGTGTATTGTGTATGTCTAAAGAATCAATTATATTTTACAATCTAATTAACCCGAACTGATGCAAATTACCTCCTATGGTGTTGCACATCAAAGGCAGAAACAATTATAGTTCCATTTGGGTTTGAAACATGGAAAACTCGATTAGCACCATATATTCTTCCATTCATGTCAAATTGAATATATGTTTTCTGTCTACTATAATCTTAGGTATGGCTCCTCTTTTGCGAGTTGATTTTTATTTTCTTCTCTAATTCGGTGTGTTGTTTGTTTTCTTCGAGTTACTCTTCTTGTTTGAGTTACTCTTCTTGTTCAAGTTACTCTTCTTCTCTTAGATAAGCTGCTCGTGTATTTTAAAATAGATTTAAGTTTGTAATGTGATAAGATCCCAAAAATGAAGGGGATCAATCGTGGAGAAGTTAGTGTTCCTAAATAGTAAGAGAACAGTGATTTTTTCTTGAACAGAGGCACTCGCAGCTCAATGAGAACAAATAACGTTCTAATAGAAGATAGAGCGAGTTGTATTAAACTTGAGAAATCCATTATGAATTACAAGTGAGGTATTGTTCCGATTTTTCGACTGACAGTGAAAGAAAATAGTTGCAGTTGTTCAACAGATCCATGTGCGTAGTCACGTGCCACTAGTTCCTAACAGATTTCTATCTAACTAAAATAATTAGGAATTGCAATTGCACTATTATAAAGTTATCTAATATAAATGGATCATATCATAGTGTATTGTGTATGTCTAAAGAATCAATTATATTTTACAATCTAATTAACCCGAACTGATGCAAATTACCTCCTATGGTGTTGCACATCAAAGGCAGAAACAATTATAGTTCCATTTGGGTTTGAAACATGGAAAACTCGATTAGCACCATATATTCTTCCATTCATGTCAAACTGAATATATGTTTTCTGTCTACTATAATCTTTGGTATGGCTCCTCTTTTGTGAGTTGATTTTTATTTTCTTCTCAAATTCGATGTGTTGTTTGTTTTCTTCAAGTTACTCTTCTTGTTCAAGTTACTCTTCTTCTCTTAGATAAGATGCTCGTGTATTTTAAAATAGATTTAAGTTTGTAATGTGATAAGATCCCAAAAATGAAGGGGATCAATCGTGGAGAAGTTAGTGTTCCTAAATAGTAAGAGAACAGTGATTTTTTCTTGAACAGAGGCACTCGCAGCTCAATGAGAACAAATAACGTTCTAATAGAAGATAGAGCGAGTTGTATTAAACTTGAGAAATCCATCTTGAATAATAAGTGAAAAATTGTTCAACTTTTAAGGCCAGCATAGAAGGTGGGAAAAGTGGTTGAAGTTGTTAAAAATTATCCACTTGTGTAGTAACGTGCCACTAATTCCTAACAGATTTCTATCTAACTAGAATAAATTAGGAATTGCAATTGCACTATTATAAAGTTATTTAATATAAATGGATCATATCATAGTGTATTGTGTATGTCTAAAAAATCAATTATATTATTTTACAGTCTAATTAACTCGAACCGATGCAAATTACCTCCTATGGTATTGCACATATAAGGTAGAAACAATCGTAGTTCCATTTGGGTTTGAAACATGGAAAACTCGATTAGCACCATATATTCTTCCATTCATGTCAAACTGAATATATGTTTTCTGTCTACTATAATCTTTGGTATGGCTCCTCTTTTGTGAGTTGATTTTTATTTTCTTCTCTTATTCGGTGTGTTGTTTGATTTCCTCGAGTTACTCTTCTTGTTCGAGCTTCTTGTTCAGGTTACTGTTATTCTCTAAGATAAGCTACTCATTTATTTTAAAATAGATTTAAGTTTGTAGTGTGATAAGATCCCAAAAATGAAGAGGATCAATCGTAGAAGAACTAGTGTTCCTAAATAATAAGAGAACAGGGAACTTTTCTTGAACAGAGGCACTCGCAGCTCAATGAG